GCGTCAAAAACATCGATGATTATTAATAATTCATAACTGAAATTTTGATTCTTGCACCTACTTGAGGATGAATTAATGGTGACCAACGAAGACATTCTTCATCAATTTCAATCCAATTAATTGATCGTTCTTCATATTTCTGTTGTAATTGTAGTAAATATTTCAAATCGAAACAGATCACAGGTCTAGGAGAGAGAGAGAGAGAGATAAAACGGAAACAAACAGATGAGTAGTTTGGAAATACATTGAAAAATATACATATATACTTCTCGAAGATATATGACTAATAAAAAAAAACATTACTATGATAAACTAGGCAGGACCAAGTTACGTCATTTAAATCAACTTTACCAATGAACAGTATTTATGCTTGTATTAGTGAATAAATCAGTCAGTTAGTCAGACAGTTAAAACGTAGAGAACTTCGTACGTATGTACTTCAGTTCATGTTGCTATACCACATTAGTACAGAGATGCAATTGTCACTTCATATCCTGTAGTGGTAGATGTAGTAGAAGTAGTATAAGCGGTGTTAATGGAGAATATTAGGTAGCGAAAATATGATTCGAGAAGTATAATTCAGTGAGATAAAGTTAGAAAGAGAAAGATAGAGGTGATGAGGAATGCAGAAGCTTAGAATTTCATAGAACACAACGAGTGGATGCACTTGCGTCACTGCAAACGATTTTGAGCCATGTCATTCAAGGTCTATAACCCTCAGTTTGTATAGTCTCGCGAACGCCAACCTGGTAGTCTACACCTCCAAACATGGCTTAGTTAAACTTTCAGATAGGTGTGACATTGTTATGATCGACCTTTTCTAACCCTTCCTTCCTTGTGAGAAGGCAGCATCGCTGCACATGCTGGTTGTCCAAAGGAAACACCTTATTGCTGTCAGAGCCCTCTATAGTCAGCTGTACGACGTCCCCCTCAGACCTTGTGTATTTGTTATTAGTATCACTGTTCTCTAATCTACCTGCCTGACATGGTAGAACGTACATTCGAGATGTATACCCCAGAGGAATCAATGAAAAACAGAGAAAAAACCGTCATGAGTAATTCAGAAGATTAGAATTTAAGAGAACACAATGAATGAATGCACCTGTGCCACTGCAAACAGTTTTAAGCGATGTCATTCAAGGTCTCTAACGATCCATCATTATTATCTCGCAGACCACAACCAGGTAGTCTATACATTTACCAACATGACTCAATCGAGTTGTCAGTGACTTCAAGGATTCGTGCTATGTATTAAATATGAATGCATGTAAATTAAACAAGTGAACTGTTCAAATTTCGCTCTATTTATCAAGTTGACGTAGATAAACTAATGAACAGAGAAAAATTAATTCAAAAACATACGATGGCAAACTAAAAAATTCCGATTGGTGCAAATCATCTTTCAGTTAGTTGCAACGTAGAACTTCGTACGTATGTACATAAGTTCATGTTGCCATACCACATTAGCATAGAGACGCAGATGTCATATCAAATCCCATAGTGATAAAGATAGAAGAGGTATTAATGGTAATAAAGAAGACTAGGGTTCGAAGATATTATTCAAGAAGTATAATTCAGTGAGATAAGTTTAGAAAGACGAAGGTAGATGTGCTGACGATTCCAGAAGATTAGGATTTGAGAGAGCACAAAGAATAAATGCACCGGCGCCATTGCAAACGATTTTGAGCCATGTCGTTCAGGGTCTCTAACCATTGGTGACTTTCGTCTCGCGGACCCCAACAAGGTAGTCTACATCTACCAACATGACTCAGTCCACTTGTCAGTGACTTCATGGATTTCTGCCATGTTTTGATTTGGCCGCCTCTGGCTTTCTTCCAACCTACTCCTACACCACAAAACATAGCAAATCATCTTTAATCATTGATCAACTATAATCGGCAATTCGAATGAATCATAAACTAATCAAAATTCAAAAGATTATCACATCTTTTCTTCTAATAATATTAATATCATGCATCCGTTGAATAAATGAAGTGATTACTTGAATTCAGTAGCTCATTAGATGATGCGTTCAGTGCTTAAACTAATGGATTCAGGTTCCAATGTAAATAGTAACATTGAGCAGTAGATATATATCCAGATAATAAAACGTGTATTCTAAATTAGACTGCTAGTTATAAGTCATATATATATATTTGATAGGGAACATTATCATTTACATGAATCCTTTTAACTGGATCTCATTCAGTCAGTTACAACGTAGAACTTCACACGTACGTGCACCAGTGTGCTCAACTTGCCACACCACCCACTTTAGCACACAGAGATGGAGTTGTAAGTCGAAATCTCATAGTATTCGAAAAGATTAGGGATCCAAGATATGATTCAAGAAGTATAATTCAGTGAAATAAACTTAAAAAGAGAAAGTTAAAGGTGATGAGGAATTCAGAAGACTAGGATTCGAGAGAAGACAAACAATGGATGTACTTTCGCCATTGTCATTCAATATCTCTACTAACCATCAATCGATCACTACTGCCTCATCGACTCCAACCATATAGTTTAAACCTAAATAACACAAATCAGTAGTAACTGGCAGAACTCATTCGTTTAGTATGAGTTATTTATTTTATCAAGTACCTCTCTATATGATTAGAACACTTTGAATCAATTGATTAGAACAAGTATCTATTTATCTATCTATCTAAGTCTATTTAGGCATTATAATCATTATAGAGCGTTGAACATTATTACTAAACATGTTGTGTTACAAATTCAATTAGATCAATCACATGCAAAAGAAGAAGAAATCAATACAGAATGGGACGATTTGTACGACAAAACAAAACATTTAAAGCAATCCAGTTTTGGTAAATATAACGGACATGATTCAATTTATTTGGGTTGATTAGCAAAAAAACGAAAAAAAATTTTATGTATGAAAAAAAACTTATACACACACAAAAAAAAACATTTTTTTACGTAAATAAAAATCGGAATAACACTTATTTTTCCAATTGAAAAAATAAAAAGACACATACATAATCGAAATTAGTTGATATTATTACATCTGCCTACATATATTTTTCATTAACCGAAATATTTAGACAGACAGACAGACAGATACAACACAGAACTTCGTACGTAAGTACATCAGTATCATTTGAAGGATTTGATTTTGACCAATTTGGTTTCGTGTGCTGTTACGGGTATGAGGGCGGTTGTTACTCCCCAGCTGCCCACACCGTAGAAGGTTGTTTCTTGAGGAAACTGGAAAGGAAGTTAGATTAGCGTTGGTCTTAGAGACCTGGGTGCGTGACCGCAGAGCCCAAGGGACAACTCCTTGAGGCCGGTCACGCACGGCCTTATGATGAAAGGTTTTTTAATATTAGCTCCGCTCTTAAAAGCCCTTAGTGGGCACCCTTACCCAAGGAGACGGAAATCCGTGAGGTAAGGTGAGGTGTGACATTTTTAGGGTTGACCTTTTCTAACGCCTTCCTTCCTTGTGAAAAGGCAGCATCGCTACAGATGCTGGTTTTCCGAGGGAAACACCTTACTGCTGTCACACCTCTCTACAGTCAGCAGTTCGACGTCACCCTCAGATCTTGAGTTGCTGCTATTAGTCTCACTGTTTACCAATCGACCTGCCTGGCATGGTAGAACCTACAGGAACGTATGTTTCAGCCAATATAGCTCGGTTGGGTCATCGCGATAGTCAAGCCCGAGCACCACGTCAAGGTAGCAGATACGGTCGGGAAATTTTTACCTAAATTGCTTTGAATTCACAAAATGACTAAAATGAAATTTTTAAAAATGTTCAACTTATTATTATTATTATAATACAAAATGATCTTTAGCTAGTGTGTCATTTGAAAACTAAGAGAGTACTGGTTAACTAACTGATTCACTTTCTAGTTTGAGACTAAGCAGCATTGCAGAACCAACGACAAGTCAAAAATTGATTTGACGTTTCACAGTTTGATTCCTAGTACTGGTATAAGTTGTGCGAACTACTGAGAAGTATCATACCAGCATAAAATAGCTGCCTAATAATGCTTGCTAGTATTCAATGGTACCTACCTACCTACCTCCCTCAATTGATATTAATCTATGACGAGTACATTCTACAAATCTCCAAAAAAACACACCTTCGACTGATCAGAATTAAATTATTAACTCTCTAGAAGGATTTTATGTTGAAAATTAACAAACGGCTAATATTTTTATCTATTAGTATGATAACAAAATATAAAGCATTTGATGTTATGTGGAGGGTTTTATCTTGGTTTCAAACACTAATAATTCCACCTGGAGCCCTTCTAGGGTTACTGCCGGTCCCAAGCCCGAATAAAGGAGGAGGGTTGGGCATGATAGGAGTTAGCGACCCAATCCGATAGAAATCTAACTCGCTGAAAGAAGTTAAATAGAAAATTAATTCACTGGTAGGTGGCTTATAGCTCGATTAGGTGTACACCAAGGGTCAGTCAAACAATTACGACGTAGAACTTCGTACACTTACGTACATAAGTTCAGGTTGCCATACCGCGTCGTCAGTACAAACATGCAACTGTCATTTAAAATCCCTTAGTGGTAGAGATATTAGAAGTATTGGTGGTTATAGAAAAGATTAAGCTTCCAATATATTATTCAAGAAGAATAAGTTTAGAAAGAGAACGGTAGAGGTGATGAGGAAATCAAAAGATTAGGATTTGAGAGAACACATAGATTGAATGCACCTGTGCCACTGCAAATGATTTTGAGCCATGTTGTTTAAAGTCTCTAATCATCGGTTACTAACGTCTCGTGGACACAAACCAGACAATCTATATCTCTGCGCTAACGTGGTATGGCAACTTGAACTGATGTATGTACGAATGAAGTCCTATGTAATTGTTTACTGACTGACTCAGTCCACTTGTCAGTGACTTCATGGATTTCTGCCGTGTTTTGGTTTGGCCTGTCCCTAGCTTTCTTCCAGCCTACTCCTACACCACAAAACATAGCTCGTCGAGGCAGTCGATGATTGGGCATACGTATATCAGTGGTACTTAAGTTCAACCACTTATCCTACATGGTCATTTTTTGAACGACTAAAACCAGCTGACCAGTAATAATAGTAATAATAATAATAATAATAATAATCATACCTTCCGTCTGAACTTAGTGTAATCGTGGTAGCTAATTGTTGAATTGTACTAGCTACATCATGTGGATCAATACCAGTGGTAGAACTAATTTCATGTATAGTAATCACAAAATCACGAAATCCAATCGATCCAACTGAATTTGTCAAACAATCCGAGTCTAATTCACAATTAGGCATAGTTGAATTCGGTAATTTACAATCTTTCATAGAGCATAAGAGGAATGGTAGAATTTTCGATCGCCAATAGGATTGATATGAAAGATTGCCAAGTTGAGATAATGGTTTCTCAGGTGAACCTGGTTGGCCTTCAATACGAGATAACAGGAAACCTATGATAAAGTATTAAAAAAAATAAGACATTTTTTTCATAAACAAAATCACTAATGACCATTTTATAAAAACAATCCATTTACTAACTGATGAAATGAATTTTGGCGATATGGTAGTGTGATGATAGGTGGTGGCTGGCTTATGAAATGAGCACAACTGAGCAGAGCAGTCGATGAAGAGAGCAGTTGCAAGCAAGCTCAGTCGACAGTGTTCACAATATAGGCACAGCGTCGACGTGGCAAACAACAAGTCTTTCTTTATTGCTATTTTCCTTCTCCTTATACACGCACAATACACATTTTTTTCAAACTTTTCACATTTAATCGAATCTCTATGCTAAAACAATACAGTACACATGTCACTGTTATTATTATTTCTTTCACTGTTTAGTGAGGGGTCCAAGTCACCGATTTCACAGTTAAACACGTTAATCCCACTACTACATACACTCTATTCTATTGTATCAAACATTCACTAGCTCGCTTGCGACATATATATTCGTCACATCCAATGGGTTAATCAATCAGTCAATCAGTTATTTACAACGTATAACTTCGTACATAAGTACGTAACTTCAGATTATCATACCAAATTAGAAAAGAGAAGCAATTGTCAGTTCAAATCCCATAGTAGTAGAGGTAGTAGAAGTATTAGCAGTAATCAGAGAGATTAGGGTTCAAAGATGTTATTCAAGAAGTAGAATCGATTGAAATAAACTTAAAAAGAGAAGGATAAAGGTGATGAGGAATTGAGAAGACTAGGATTTGACAGAACACAAAGCTTGAATGCACCTGCGCCATTGCAAACGATTTTGAAACATATCATTTATGGTCTCTAACCATCGATTACTATCATCTCGCGGACCCCATCCAGGTAGTCTGAGCTTATAGCAACATGACTCAATTCACTTGTCAGTGACATCATGGATTTTCGCCATGTTCTGATTTGGTCGCCTCTAGCTTTATTTCAGACTACTCTTACACCGCTAAATATCGCTCCACGAGTCAGTCAAGTTTCATTATATATATATATATATATATATATAGGATAGATGCCAGTTAGGCACCGGAGAGTGGAATTCTACCGACTATTTTTTCATTACTGACATATTATACTGATTAACAATCTACAATTTAACTAATGACATCACATTATCCATAGAATGCTATTCCTTTGGTTTTATTTTGAACTCCACCTGGCGCTCGTCTAAGGTTACTGCCGATCCCAAACCCGGAAAAAGGACGGTTGAGCATGAGATGGCGCCAGCGTCCTCATATCATAGAAATCCAACCTGTTAGGAAAAAAAACGCTAACTAGTAAAATTATAGGCTGTTCAGCTACTTATGCTCCAATTAGGAGTAACAAGAGTAAATAAGCAGTAAATAAGTAGGTACGGTTGTATCTGTACTACAAATACTGATTACGCTGAATTTTTAAACCAGCTTTATATAAACCTGGAAGAACTGGACGGCCGTTTCGTCCTGGCATGAGACTCCTCAGCAGTGCGCATCCACGACTCCTGCACCCCGCAGGATTCGAACCCAGGACCTTCGGTATTGTGCGCGAACGCCCTAACCGTTAGACCACTGAGCCGGTATTTAACGGTGTTAGTGTCTAACTTAATCAATTCACGGAGTTGCGCAACCTCATACACAGTCTTCGGTAGACACTGTTTACACCCGAACAGGTTGAACTTCACTGGTCACGTCTTCCCACTAGAACTCAGAGAAGATTCCTCACGAAGCTAGTCACTAGTGAGCACAGGTAATTTGCATTACGGGGTTGTGAAGATTGTTAAGTTACACAGGACGAAACGGCCGTCCAGTGCTTCCAGGTTTCTAATGATGGTCTAACATTGATCGATTCATGGTTTCAAAAATGTGTAACTTAACAATCTTCACAACCCCGTAATGCAACTTTATATAAATTTGTGATTAACTTTTGACTGAACAAATCCAGTTCGACTGTGTTTTATTTTTTTTATTGATTAGAATTCACTGTTCTAATTTTTTCGTTGTTGTTGCTTTAACTCCACTTTTTTTAACGAAAACGAAGTGACTACTGAAATAAAAATATTAGTAAACATATGCATATCTAAAATTGGTGAGTTGATAGAAATCACACCCATAGATAGAGAGAAAGAGAAAATAATGATTAAACTTACTGAAATCAATTAAAAATCTTCCATATGCTTGTTTTTGATAAGGTGGTAATACTAGAATACAACTTAAATTGTACTTTTGTACAGAACGTTTTTCTTTAGAAAAATAACCAACTAAATGAAAGCATCGTTCATTGTTATCATGATCAGTTGTTGTGTTATTATGATTATTATTATTATTATTAATAATTTTTTCATTGTTTGATTGTTTTTGTTCATTCATTGGAGTATTAGTATAATTATTATTATCATAATTGTTATTATTATGTATTGTAACAACATAGAATAAAAATGGTTCCACATCATAATACAATGTTTTATGATCTAAAAATAATTTAGCCAATAAACATAATTGTTGACAATATAAACGTGAAGTATAACCATCTACTTCAAATACAGATATATTTTTACAACGATAAATTTCATTACCAGGTGGAAAACTATATGGACATTTTTCCTTGAAAAAGGGAAGCAAGAGAGAGAGAGAGAAAGTAAAAAAAACATTGCGAAACCTTTACAAAAAAAAAACTAATCATACTACAATAAAAACCAATAATAATTTGAATATGATCAAATGAGAAACCAAAAAACCAAATGGACAAAAAAAATCTATTCATCACTGAAATCATGAATCAACTCTTCCTTGTTAGACCATCTCGTTAGTAACCTGGGAGCATTTTGGACGGTCGTTTCATCCTGGTATGGGACTTACCACCAGTAATGCGCATCCAGGACTTGAATTCAGTACCACCGGTCTCTTGCGCACGAACGCTTTAACCTCAGGACTACACTGAGTCGGCATCTTGGAGTTCTAGTAAGAAGACGTGATCAGTTTTACACAGTTACCTACAGCAGAAAACGGGTGAGATTAGATTTGTCAGAGTCACACAGTAACACAGTTGAATGCCAGCCAGCTCAGTGGTCCAGAGGTTAAGCGTTCGCGCGCATGATCGATGATCTCGGGTTCGAATCCTGAGAGTAATGGGAGTCGTGGATGCGAACTGCTGATGAGTTAGTCCCATACCAAAACAAAACGGTCATCCAGTGCTTCCAGGTTACTGACGGTGGTCTAACAATAATTGATTTAGGCTTACAATATAAAACAACGATCTCTATAATACTATAATGCAAAAATGAAAAATTATGGTCCAGTTGGCTTGGTACCGTATGAGTTAGGACTCTGCACAAGGTTTACATAACTGTTCGCTATGTATTCGCAAAGGGAGAAACTGTCATCGGATCAATTAATTACCTTATAAAGTTGAATACTGCTGACTTAAGGTCAAGCAAGTCCAAAGTTAGTAGTAAACAGTCGGTCAGTAGGTCTGAATGTTGAGTGTTTATAATCATATGACCGCATCCAAGTTTGAGATTAATCTAGTTTTTTTCTCAAGTGGTTTGTTATTCAAGAACCCTAATTAGGCGACGTGTGACTGTATGTATTTTGAATATTTAATCAAAAAAAAATCATTTAAAGCTTTAACATTATTCAACATTTTGGAGCATGTGATTGAATTCGTCTAATTTAAATTATGTTCTGTGATATCATTGTTTTATCCATTAAACTTATTATTCGTTTTCATCATAGAAAATATGGAGATTGTTGTTTTAACATTGAACGCATGGATCAATTACCGTTAGACCAACATTAGAAAGCGGGAAGTATGAGATGTTCCTCTTATCCTACCTAGTATGGGACTTATCAACAGCGTACATCCACCACTCCCGCCACTCTCAGGATTCGAACTCAGGATCTTCAGTTTCGCGCACCTCTAGATCACAAAGCCAGAATCCAACGGTGTTAATGCCTAATTCTGATCAATCTAAGGTTTTCGCGAAATTATTATTCTTGTCAGCTCTGTTTGTTCTGATAATTTTCGTTTTTCATTGAACTCGTGTAAACTAGTAAGTATCATAAGTCTATGAGAGCAGACAATGATCACCGTTCAATAATACAGAAAAACCACACCTTCAGTAACAAAGCTTTCAAACTACTGCATATAAAATTTAGAGCAACATCTAGATAAAATCAAATTATTACAAACAGAGTAGAGAAAACAATTTCTCAATGTAAATATAGCACATAGTGAATCTATTCATCAATGATTTTTCGATAATGAAAATTGATAGACAGACAGACAGACACAGATATAACAGAGAACTTCGTACGTAGTATGTACATCAGTTCAGGTTGCCTGCCATACCGCATTAGCAGTGAGACGTAACTGTCAGTTCAAATCCAATAGTGGTAGCGATTGTAAGAAGTATTTTAGCAGTAATGGAGAAGATTAGGGTATAAATTCAGTGACACCATGCGAGACAAAAATTGGTCAAAATCAAATCCTTCCTACACCCCTTAACATCATCTCTCTTATCTCCATGACTAACTCGACTCACATTATGAAAATTGAGTATTTTATGTAAGATAAAGACTGTCAGGATCATTGGAAAACAACTTCAGTCAAATCGTTCAGCATCACAGTTTTTTCCTTGTTAGATTATGTTTTTTGCTCCAACTAGGTGATCAACTAACGGACTGCCACAAAACAAACTAACATATAAATATTTCATTGGAAGAAGGAATCGATCAATGTGTTAGACTACCATTAGAAACTTGGAAGCACTCATGACCTTCAGTCTAGCGCATGAACGCTCAACCCCTAGACCACTGAGCCGGCATCCAAAAGTGTTAAAATCTAACTTTAATTAATCAAAGGTATTGCACAACCTCACTCATTGTCTTCAGTAGGTAAACTGCCTATACCCAATAGGGTTTAGCTGCCTTGGCCATAGTTGCTCACTAGAACTCCGAGAATTTCAATACGAAGCTACAGGTTTCCAATGGCAGTCTACCATTAATCGTAGTCCAATATTATTGGCTTACGACAGCATTTCGACTGTTTGTTTGTTTGTTTGTCTGTTTTCGTCTTTATTGGTAAGTGCAGGTGGCTACCTGGTTGGGGTCCGGCGAGACGAAAGTCATCGATGCTTAGAGACCTTGAATGACATGACTCAAAATCGTTTGCAATGGTGTAGGTGCATCCACCACTCTATGTGTTCTCTCAAATTTCAGTCTTCTGAATTCCTCATCACCTTTATCTTCCTCTTTCCATAGATTATACTTTTTGAATAATATCTTCGATGCCTATTATTCTTTATTATCAGTAATTCATCTACTATCTCTACCACTATGAGATTTAAACTGACAGTTATTTCTCTGTACTGACGACGCGGTATGGCAACCTGAACTTATGTACTCATATACGAAATTCTACGTTGTAACTGACTGACTGACTGACTTTTTTTTCTATTCATCATGTTATTTACATTTCATCATGGGTCGTCAATTCACACACGCACATACACACAAACACATTTGTCGTTTGATGTCTCTGGTCGATCAATTCATGATTGTTGAATTCAGTGTGATCATGCTGCAATCTTCTTAATTTTAAACATCAATCATTTAACATGCCGAGAGAGATTTTAAACATGACGGAATAAAAAATATTCATATTACTGACAAACATATCATTAAAATGATAATAATAATAATAGTAATAATAATAATATCTTTGTTTAAATGTTCAATATAAAACTTACAATATGTCGTAAGTAGACATTACGTGTTTTGATATATTTCAAACAAAATTCACATATATACAATAAGGTAAGTCTAATAGAAATGAAATAATAAAATAAAATAAAACAATAATAATTACAAAATGAGTTGAAAAAATTTTCTAAACATTTAAAAAAAAATGAACTATTCATTCAAATAGGAAAAAACCTATTATTACACAACTGATATATGCTCGCCGAATGATATGCTTGAATGTTAGCTATTACAAGTTCACCTTAGTCGGTAAACGGAGCGCAGATCAATGCTGCAGTGACAAGATAGGCTACTCTATAATCCGATTGTCCCAAGCCCGGATAACTAAAGCGAGAAGTCTTGATTAGGAGTAGGGAATGTATTCTACAAGCAACCAGAAAATCTGAGGTGTCTAAGCACATAAATCAAGCTTATTTATCCAACGATAGAAACGCCATAGATGAGAGCCACAAAATAACAAACTACAATAATCCATCAGCCAATGACAGGCCAGGGATTTTCCGAGTGGGCAGTGCAAGCAAGCTAAAGGCCAGCTAAGCGTCTCTTGGCGCACGATAACATGGAAATTAAAAAAATTTCATAATGAAATTTACAAAATTAGGACCTTTTTTGCAAGTGAGTTCTAGGGGATCTAACTAACGTACCCAACAACAACAACTCATGTGTTTTTTTGTTTAAAAAATTACTTACATGAAACAACAAAACTGAAAAAGGAAAGACAACAGAACAAACAAACATCAAAAATAGAATATGAAGAAATGGGATTAGCGAAGCCATCATCACGTGGAAATCCAACTCATTAACCGAAAAACAAAAAATAACTAGCTAGCTAGTCGGTGGTGGGCTTAATGGTTCTATTAGGGGTAACAGGCCTAAGTAAGTAAGTAAGTAAGTAACATCACTAATTGCAGCCTGGAACTTTTACAACTCGAAAAATCAGGAATTTCACTGAAGTTCATTTACACTAATCGCGAACGATTATTGTCACACTTTAAAAATCCAAGCTATTCATAAATATAAAGATACTATTGTTTATTAATTAAGACTATTTAAAATACATTTTAATTTCCTCTCCAATATCAATCTATTATTATCAATGACGAATAGGGGTTTTGTGTTCAAACGATGCTCCTGATATCATGGTGTCGTCATTGACCATTGATTGATTGAACTAAATCATGTTCCTCAGTACAAACTACCACCAACTTGATGTCTGTGCAATTGTTATAAATAAATAGCATTACGGGGTTATGAAGATTGTTAAGTTACATATTTTTGAAACCATAAATCGATCAATGTTAGACCACTATTAGGGGGCGTTCGCGCACAATACCGAAGGTCTTGGGTTCGAATCCTGCGGGGTGCAGGAGTCGTGGATGCGCACTGCTGAAGAGTCCCATACCAGGACGAAACGGCCGTCCAGTGCTTCCAGGTTTCTAATGGTGGTCTAACATTGATCGATTCATGCTTTCATAAATAAATAGGTAGATTTATGTTTTATTTTAAAATACTTATACCATTTTACTCGAATCATATTATGTTCTACTAATTTCTTCTACTATTCTATTGATACTGTCACAACTTCTGTTACTCTAACATACACTCTCATTAATTCAGTTTATTTTGTTGATATGATAAGTGACAAGTTGAATGATTGTCAAAGTATAAATTAGACGTATAAAAATTAATAATAGTGTACGAATCATAACTCCAAAAGCCAATGCGAAGACATGGATTGGGCAAAGCAACGATAACATTTCTACAGTTGAAGAATCTCTGGAACTCAAAACAACTATCAATTAACACCGTAGTCACGAATTTCAGAATAAACGTCATAACCGTTCTGTTGTATGGAGCGGAAACTTGGAGAACTACCAAAGCCATCATCCACATGATACAGATGTTTATTAACTGTAGTCTACACAAGATACTACGAATCCCTCGGCCAGACACTGTCAGCAACAATCTACTGTGGGAGAGAACAAACCTGGTTCTAGCTGAGGAAGAAATTAGTAAAGGCACTTGTTACGCCTGCACGTAAACACGTCAACTTGATATGCTTGAACTATTACGAGTTTACCTAGTCGGAAAACGAGAGCGAGGATCGAGGATCCGGTGACACGACATGCTACTCAAATCTGATTATTCCAACCCCCATATTCAGTGAAAATAAGAAGACGTGATATGAAGTAGAACCTGTATTCTACAAGCATCCAGAAAGTACGAGGTCCGAATCCAGAAGAGAATCAGGATCCCGGACTAGGGATCCGGGACCGGGTCCTGGTCCTTGTCGTGGTCATAAAATGTTACAGATAATGCGTATTTATACATTTTGGTCGAATAGGAAACAGCATCGAATTCTGTGACATTGACAGTTAAGACGACCAATAGGAAGTAACATTTGAAATGACATTGACAGTCCGGATGACCAATAAGATACAACATTGAAGTATTTGACTTTGACAGTTAAAACGACCATAATTTTGACCAATAGAAATCGGCCAATAGGATTTGATCAATAATTCTCTTAGGATATTGGATGAATATCCTAACACACTGGAGGTGGACTAGACACATACTTAAGAAAGAACCCAACTGCATCACAAGGCAAGCACCCTTATGGGGAAACCCAAGGGTTAAGGGAAGAGAGAAAGACGAAAGAATAAATTGTGCCAAAAATTGGAAGCAGACATGAAAAGAATGAATAGTGCTTGAGAAGAACTGAAAATTTGGCTCAGGGAAAAGTAGGTTGTTCAATATTAGACGGCGGCCTATGTTCCATTAAGGGTGATGGGCACAAATAAGTAAGAACCATACAAACAAATTTCATGATTTTTAAAAAGTAAAAGGAACACATATTGACGATCGCTATTCGCTATTTCCAAATAATACCAACTAGAGGATTATTGGAAATCAAGGAGGGCACTGAACAGTTAGTTGTTTAACCCCTACATGGTTTTCAAGTACTCAATTTATAAAACTGGTTTAAGGTGGCTAAGGTATTCTTTGTTCAGTCGCCAAGTCCCAGATTACAACATTACAGAACGAACTTCGGTGCAAATAACAGAGTAGTAGTGTGGAGCGAGCTACTTATAAGTAGTATATGATGTGAGTGTAAACGTAATGTCTGGCAGCAGAAGATGGGGTAAGATCAAAAAAGGAAGAAGAGTGGGAACACAATGGAATTTGTATGAAACGCATGAATAAGTGAAATGTCAGATAATGGATCGATGTTTTGCAAATTAACCGCTTACGATATGGTTTTCCTAGTTTACTGAGTAACTCTGTAATTTTCGTTAAATACAATTCGGTTGCCCCACCTGTGTTCTCCTTCACTACAGTAGCATTAGCGCACACATCTAAAGTATGGCTTACACCCATAAAATCTAATGAGTGAATTTAGTTAAATTTTTCCGTAAAATATATGCTATTATTAGCGAAATTGAATTTGACAATATATGGTCTTTAACATGCATAGAAACTTTTATGATGAAACCGAAAAGTGAATTGGAAGATGGTGTTTCCAGCCGAATTATAAAACACGACTGTTCTCAAAACAAATCCTATATGATCAAGTATCATTTTCATCATTCAGTTAGTTGTTAAAACTGTTTTAGTGAAGCTCGATAAATAATTTCTTTCTAAATGTTAAAATAAAGTCAATCAGTCAGTCAGTTACAACGTGGAACTTCGCACGTACGTACATATGTTCATGTTGCCATGTAACATTAGCACCGAACCGTAGATGCTAAGCTTGACGCGGTGGTGGGACTTGCCTATAGCGATGATCCAACCGAGCTATATTGGCTGAAACATACGTTCCTGTAGGTTCTACCATGTCAGGCAGGTCGATTGGGAAACAGTGAGACTAATAGCAGCAACTCAAGATCTGACGGTGATGTAGTACTGCTGACTGTAGAGAAGTGTGACAGCAGTAAGGTGTTTCCCTCGGACAACCAGCATCTGTAGCGATGATGCCTTCTTCACAAAGAAGGGAGGCGTTAGAAAAGGTTGACCCTAAAAATGTCACACCTCACCTTACCTCACGGATTTCCGTCTCTGGTGATAAGGCCTTTTAAAAAGAGCGCAGCTAACACTCTAGAACTTCTCATAGAAAATCGGTGCGCGAACAACCTGAAGCAGTTGTCCCTTGAGCTCTGCGTTCAGGTCGCTCAGAATGACGCTAATCCGGTTTCTTTTTCAGGTTACTCAAGAAACACCCTTCCTCAGTGTAGGCAACCGGGAAGTGACATCCGCACTCATAACCGTAACAACACACGAGACCCAAATGGTTACAATTTTACAATAAATCTCAACTATAAGTATCTCACGTTTGTAAACAGCAGAATATGAGTGTCAAATCATAGCTGATGTCAACTCTTCTTTAAAACTCAAATCCCGAATAGTAATAAAAAGCAAATTCCAGCTTGACTTTGAACATCTAACCCAAACCTTTTAGTGTGTGATAGCTGGTCTCAGTCGGTAACAAAAGCTCGGAGTGAATGATAATCCTAACCCATAACAACACACCAATCCGACCCAACTTTTCTTCCCACTACAAGGAATAATTTGACAATGTGACAGCTAATTGTTTTGATCAAAGCTACTGATAACTATTTATGGCTTTTAACTGTAGTGTTTCCTGATTTGGTTAGTCGATGATCACTCAAGATCAATTTTTAGAACAGAAACCTTTCACATATCGTGGCAAGCATTTAGGCTACCGACAATACAGTTTATACTCATAAATTCAACCAAATAAACGTATCACGATGAGTTTTGTTTTACTACTACTTATTTCACTGTCATCATCTCCAAAACAGAAATTTCGGAGAAATTCTGCTGAAATTATTGTGTGTGTGTGTGTTTATGTGTGAGAGAGAAAAAAATGCTACAATGCTACAACAGAAGAAAAAAAGCGCTTAAAATAATTCTTTCTACATTTTAGTAGTAGTTTAAAACAACAACACAGCATTGTAAAATCATTTCAATGAATAATTTAACTAACTCTTATACAATTGATTTGAATTGTATTATCCAAAAACTATGTATGTATTATAGATCGAATATATATGTATATATACAGGTCGATGAAAAGTTCAATACACACAACAATTAACCAACTAACTAACTAACTAACTAACTAACTGACTAACAATTTTGCTAACACAATCAATCCTATCCCAAAGTAAGGTCGAAATGACCAAAATAAAAATCATGTGTCCTACTAATACTACTACTACTACTACCTACCATCACTACTACTACTACTACTATTATTTATTTATTTATTGAAAAAAAAGAATGAAAGAAAAGAAAAGACTTGAAATGACGAAAACATTATGCAATCAATAAGTTGAAATTAATTATTTTGCTATAGTATATAAATATATTATAGTAGACACGTGTGTATATACATCAATATATAAAATGATATAATAGAATATTATATGAAAAGCTTAATACAACATTCATAAAAATAAAAAATAAAAAAGTCCTAACCGTCTATTATTCTATTCAACAAACAACTCAAACTAAACATTGTTATAGTTTTATCATCAATACAACTAATTAAATTTCACTAACAGTTATGATGAATATTGGTTACAGAGTTGTTACACACATATATCAGTCAGTCAGTCAGCTACAATGTAGAACTTGGTACGTACTTATGTACATCAGTTCATGTTGCCATAACACACTAGCACAGAGATGTCATTGTCAATTTTAATCCAATACTAGTAAAGGCAGCAAAGGTATTAGAAGTAATCGGAGAGGTTAGGATTAGAAGATATTATTCATGAAGTATGATACAGTGAGACAAGTTTATAAAGACAAAACTAGAGGTGTTGTAGAATCCAGAAGATTAGGATTTGAGAGAACACAAAGAATAAATGCACCGGCGCCATTGCGAACGATTTTGAGCCATGTCATTCAAGGTCTCTAACCATCGATTATTATCATCTCGCGGACCCCAACCAGGTAGTCGACAATTACCGACATGGCTCAGTCCACTCATCAATGACTTCATGAATTTCTGCAATGTTTTGGTTTGGCCGCCCCTAACTTTCTTCCAACCTATTCCTACACTACAAAACAAAGCTCGTCGAGGCAGTCGGTGGATGGGCATTCGTAACACATGCATGTCCCAACCACCTCAACTGATGAAGTTTCAATACTTCATCTATTGATCTGCCATTCTTACCTAGCACCCGATTCCTAATAACAGCGTTGCTCACTCGGGTGTCCCACGATATACGAGCAATGCTTCGAAGACACCTATGATCGAAAACCAGTAACCTACGAATATCTTCTACTCTCACTGGCCATGTTTCACAGCGATAAAGTAAGACGGAGCGAACTACTGCGCAGTACACTCGTCCTTTAGTCAGCAAACGGATATCACGCCTACGCCATAAGTGACGCAGGTTGGCAAAAGCCAATCGAGCCTTCTGTATCCGTGCTGAGATTTCGTCAGTCACCAGGCCATCGGCACTGATGAGACTCCCAAGATAAGTGAAGCGGTCTACACGTTCGACTACTTCACTCCCTTTCACTATTTCAGGTGCCGATGAAACCCAGTCTTGAAGCAACATTTTGCATTTCGAGGGGGAAAACCGCATCCCGTGTTACACATATATACTTGGCTTTCTTGCAAGAACTAATAAATTACATAGATTCATGCAACTAAATCCAACAGGTTTATAGTTAGTTACTTAGTCAGTCAGCTACAATGTAGAACTTGGTACGTACGTATGTATGTACATCAGTGTTCAAGTTGCCATACCAGATTAGATAGAACAAAGAGATGGAATGTTCAGTTCAAATCCTATAGTAGTTAGAGGTGGTAGAAGTATTAGTAGTAATCGAAAAGGTTACATATTGAAGATATGATTATTCGAGAACTATGAACCAGTGAAATGAAATGAATTAGCGAAAATAAAAAGTTATGAGGAATGTAGAGAAGATTAGGATTTAAGAGAACACAAAGAATAGATGCATCTGAGCATTGCAAAAAATTTTGAGCCATGTTATTAAAAGGTATCAAACCACCGGTTACTATCGTCTCGCAGACGCTAAACCAGCTAGTCTACACTTACTAACATCGCTGCTCAGTTCAACTGTCACTGACTTCATGGATTTGAGAAATTTTCTGGTTTAGCCTACCCTAGCTTTCTTCCAGCCTACCCCTACATCACCAAGTATAACTCGTCGAGGTAATCGGTGGATGGGCATTCGTAATACGTGTTCCAACCAGCTCAAATGATGAAGATTCACTACTTTATGTATTGACCTGCCATCCTTACCTAGTACCATTTTACTGAACATCAACATTGCTCACTCGATGGTTCCAGGATATAGGAGCATTGCTTCGAAGACACCTATGATTGAATACTACTGACTTAAGAATATTCTCTATTCTTAACGGCCATTCTTCACACCGGCACAGTAAGACGGAGCGAACTGCTGAACAGTAGACTTAAATCCCAGATTCTACATTACTTCTGACTGACTGACGAACTGACCTGCACTAATCTCAGGCTTTTATCTCTATAACCCACTATATAAAAGAGTGGGATAATGGTGCCGAAAACACACTTAAAATACCTATCTATGATTAGTAAAATAATTTTATAAACAGATTATGCAATCTAATTAACATGAAATCATAAACTTCCTCTCAATCCAGTTCATCCCTTGATGGTACCCAATGCAAGTAACAATCCCACGGAAATCAATAATTCATGAATTGTAGCCTTTTCATGTCTAAACTTACGTCTATAAAGCGATATCCTAACACAGTGCCAAAACAGGCTATACCCTCATTACTACATAATAAATATATCAGAGATCTTATTCAACAATATTTGCTGAGAGCTACACTTCTTTGCACTACACAGAATCTCATTGTAAGTTCAGGTTACCATACCACATTAGCACAGAGACATAAGTATCAGTTCAAATCACATAGTGGTAGAGATAGTAGAAGTATTAGCGGTAGTGCAGAAGATTAGGATTCAAAGATATGATTCAATAAGTATATTTCAGTGAGATAAATTTAGAAAGAGGAAGATAGAGGTGATGAGGAATTCAGAAGATTAGGATGGTCCCATGTGTTGTTAAGGGTCTGAGGGTGGATATCACCTCCCGACTGCCTGTATCGTGGGTGTTTCTTGAAAAGACTGAAAAGGAAGATAGATTAGTGTTGGTCTTAGAGACCTGGGAGCGAGACCGCAGAGCCCAAGGGGCAACTAATTGAGGCCGGATCCGGCATAGATTTTTTATAAGATTTTAAAGTGTCAGCTCTGTTCATTTTAAAGGGCCTTGCCACCGGAGACATAAATCCGTGGGGTTAGATGAGGTGTGACATTTTTAGGGTCAACCTTTTCTAACCCATTCCTTCTTTGTGAGAAGGCAGCATCTGTGCAGATGCTGGTTGTCCGAGGGAAACACCTTACAGCTGCCACACCGCTCTACAGTTAGCAGTGCAACTTCGCCCTCAGACCTTGGGTAGCTGCTTTTAGTCTCATCTTTCTCCAATCGACCTGCCTGGCATGGTAGGACCTGCAGGAACATATGTTCCAGCCAATACCGCTCGACTGAGTCGTCACGATAGGCAAACGCGACCACCAGGAGAAGTTAGCAGCTATGGTCAGGCAAAATCACATTGAAATCTCTTTGATTTAAAAATATCAACATTGTCATGTAATATGACATTCAAAATAAATTGAACTGTTTCAAACTAACCTAGCATATTCCGATGGATAAGGAGCTGAATACCATGTTGTAATAACATAACGACCAAGTTGTATTTGAGGCGGATAACGAGTATCTTCTGGTTTATTATCCAACTGATGTTGATTACTATTCTCATTTGAATCATTTGACATTGTCATCATCATTGACGATGCATTCAAGGAGGAATTATCCATAGCTGCTAAAACTTTAGGATTATTAGCAGGTGGAAGAGATAGGCTGGATTCAAGAGGTTGAGGAAGACACTGTTGAAACAAAAAAAGAATAGAATTCACTTAGTGAACAATTGAGGAAGAATGAAACAAGGATAGGCATGATCAAGATAACTGCACCACATAACTCACATCTGCTAAATCATGAAAATAATAATTCAGAAGTTAATGACTCAGTGTTTCGCATGCGCGTGAACAGGTCAACTGATATCCTTGAAACTTAGTCGGAAAACGAGAGCGAGCATTCAGCGACACGACAAGGTACTCTAATCCAAGTGTCCCAACCCCCCACTGAATAAAAGAAGACTTGATATGAAGTAGAACGCGTTTTCTAAAAGCATCCAGAAAGGACGAGGTCTGAGATCAGAAGAGGATGAGGATCCCGGACTAGAGATCCGAGTACGGGTCATAAAACGTTAATGCTATTTATTAGTTACTTTCGCTGAGCTAAGTATATTTTGTACCGATTCGAAACTTTTTATCATCGTTGATTTTCTTTATGGACGATTGATTAAGCAGACAAATAGTCGATAAGGTTGTTGTAAACTATGATTGGTTGAAGTGATTACAATATATTACATATATAGCTAATCATCACCAATGTCAATGTACGGTGGTATTTTATGGTGAGAGTAAGTTGAATGACACACGTTAGTGGAACTCAAACCAAAACATGGCATCACTCCATCTAATTCAACTGTTGATCTAAGTCATGTCGATAAATACAGACTACCTGGTCGTCAGTCAGTCAGTTACAACGTATAACTTCGTACGCACGTACGTTCATTAGTTCAACTTGCCATACCATATTAGCACAGAAAAGCAATTGTCAACTCAAATCCCATAGTAGTACAGGTAGTAGACATATTAGCACTAATCAAATAAATGAATGATAGAATATATCATTCGAGATGTATAATCCAGAGGAATCAATTGAAAAAAAAAGAGGAAAAACCTGGCAGAGATTCATGTGATAACTATGATCAATGGTTGAAGACTTTGAGTGACATGAATCAGAATCCCTTACAACAGTATAAACACATCTTACTCAAGATGTTTAAGTCCATTATATTTTTTATTTTGTATTTTTGAACCCTATTCTCAACGCTAAACCCATCTCATTCTCATTTTCACTAAATTATTTCAATCCCTTTTGCTGCTACGTTGACGTGGTGGTGGGACTGAGCTATCGTGATGACACAACCGAGCTGAAACATATGTTCCTGTGCCAGGCAGGTTGATTAGAGAACGGTAAGAGTAAAAACAGCAACTGCTGACTGTAGAGGGTGTGACAGCAGTAAAATGTTTCCCTTGGACAACAAGCATCCGCAGCAATGTTGCCCTCCCACAGCGGAAGGAAGGGGTTAGAAAAGGTCGACCTTAAAAATGTCACATCTCATCCTACGCTATGGATTTCCGTTTACGGCAGTAAGGCCATTTGAACACTTCCAAAACATCCCATAAAGAAGGTCGTGTGTGACCGGCCTCAAACAGTTGTGTCCTTTGGGCTCTGCGGTCACGCTCCCGGGTCGCTAAGACCAAAGCTAATTTACCTTTCTTTTTTGGCTCCTCAAGAAACAACCTTCCATAGTGTGGGTAGCCGAGAAGTGACAGCCATTCACATACCCATAACAGATGTACATTATTGATAAGTCCCATATCAGTGCTTCTAGGTTTCGAATATTTCAGCCCATCGTTTCAATGAAACTCAAAAAATTTCCACAACCCTACACTGAAAATCTGATAGGTTTTCTAAATTAGTAAAGGGAACTTATGAAGAGAAAGTAGAATGTACCAATCCGACAATAGTGGCACCGTTATTATTCCAAAAACCACAAGACCATATAATCGATAGTTGAATAACAAAACCAAAATTTAATAGGAATTAACATACTGGAAAGCAGAGAAATCAAAAACACTATATGATTTCTCGAGTTCTAGTGAGTATTCTTAAGTTATTTAGAGTTTTTAACCATGTTCTGCATAAGATATCATATCGTATCATCATAAATATGATAATGGATTATGGTTGTAATGTTACATTTTGCAATGATTGAAGTTAAATATATAAACAAAAACCACTGGTTCTTAGCATAGTGATTTCAATTCTTAACTCTTATCAGTCAGTCACTCAACAACAACAACGTAGAACTTCATACGTAAGTAGAGACGCCACTGTCAATTCAAATCCCATAGTGGTAGAGATAGTAGGAAGTATTAGCAGTAATCGGAGAGATAAGGTTTCCAAGATATTAGTTAAGTATAATGATGATGAGGAATTCAGAAGTTTAGCATTTGACTGAACACACAATGAATGAATGCATGTGGGCCATCGCAAATGATTTTGAGCCATGTCATTCAAGGTCTCTAACCATTGGTGACTGTCGTCTGGCGGACCCCAACCAGGTAGCCTACATCTACCAACATGGCTCAGTCCACTTGTCAGTGACTTCATGCATTTCTGCCATGTTTTGGTTTGGCCGCCCCTAGCTTTCTTCCAACCTACACCTACACTGCAAAACATTGCTCGTCGAAGCAGTCGGTGGTTAGGCATACGCAACACATGTCCTAACCACCTGAACTGCCGAAGTTCCAACACTTCGTCTGTAGATCTGCAACCCTTACCTAGGACCCGTTTCCTAACGACAGCATTGCTTACTCGAAAAAACTGTACGGGGCTACTGCCGGTCTCAAGCCTGGATAATGGAAGAAGGTTGGGATTGGGTTTGGCGACCCTACCCCGCAAAAAAACTAATTGGCTGAAAAATCGCTAACAAGAAAAATAATTTCTAGCTTGAGATTTATATGCTTGTGATTTTACAACACATGCATATTAATCTCTTTTTGGGACAAAACAAGACTACAATGAAAGTCTTTAGGAAAATAGTCAATGCAAAATAGATCGAACTGGAGTTAGGATTCTGATTAGTGGACTCGGCATGTGATATACTGGGTCAGCAATCTTTGAGATAATAAAACCCAATGGTTCCTGCACCAAAAATGGAATGACTGATTGACTCAGTGAAAAAAGATTGTCATGAATGAGATGGTCAAGTGTCCTGCCTATAGATTTATGGATAGTTGTCACTTCACAAATGGTTCACACCGTATGAGAACGAAAATTCATCACAATAGCATAATGAAATCCGATCCTTCCTGAATTTTTTTGAAAAATGCTTATTCAGATATTTACTAATAAATTGGTGAATAAAAATTTCCAATTGAATAAATTGGCTAGTTTGTAACGATAAGCAGAGATAGATGGTGACTAGAGATGGAATCCAAGACATGCGTTCCGTTCTATCCGGGACTCATCGGCAGTGCGCTCCGTCCTACTTTATGGCTATGAAACGTGGTCAGTAAGAGTTGAGGATATCCATAGGTTATTAGTATTGGATTATAGATGTCCTCCAAGCATTGCTCGTGTATCCTGGAACCAAGTGAGCAATGCAGCCATTAGGATGAAAGATCGAGAGATGAAGTAGTGAAACTTCATCCGTTGAGATGGTTGGGACATGTGTTATGAGTGCCCAACCACCAACTGCCCCTCAACGAGCTGTTTTGTGGTGTAGAAGTAGGTGTGGAAGAAAGCTAAGCGTGATAAATTCAAAACATGGCACAAATCCATGAAGTCACTGACAAGTGAATAAGCCATATTGGTAGGTGTATCCACGAGATGATAGTAATATAGATGGTTAGAGACCTTGGATGACATGTATCGAAATCTATTACAATGGCGCAAGTGCATCCATTCTTTGTGTTTACTAAAATCCTAGTTTTCTGAATTCCAGATGACCGTTTTTTTCACTTTTTTTATGAATCGATTCGTCTGGGGTATACACATCTCGAATAGGTGTATATTCGTTCATCAATCTTTTTGATGATGATTGCTAATACCTCTACTAGTCAGTTGCAACGTAGAACTTCGTACGTTTGTACATAAGTTCATGTTGCCATACCACATTATTAGCACAGAGACGCAAATATCAAATCAAATCCCATAGTGATAAAGATAGTAGAGGTATTAATGTTAATAAAGAAGACTAGGGTTTAAGATATTATTCAAAAAATATAATTCAGTGAGATAAGGTTAGAAAGACAAAGGTAGAGGTGCTGGCTAATCCAGAAGATTAGGATTTGAGAGAGCTCAAAGAGTGGATGCACATGACATGAAAAGGCTACAATTCATTAATTATTGATTTCCGTGGGATTTTTTCTTCCATCGGGTGACATTAAGAGATAAACTGGATTGAGAGAAAGTTTATGATTTCATGTTAAAGTTAGATTGCATAATCTGTTTATAAAATTATTTTACTAATCATAGATAGGTATTTTAAGTGTGTTTTCGGCACCATTATCCCACTCTTTTATATAGTGGGTTTTAGAGATAAAATCCTGAGATTAGTGCAGGTCAGTCGGTCAGAAGTAATGTAGGATCTGGGACTTAAGTTAAGCACATTGAGATGCCAGAGTAGTAACAGTGTATTATTATTAGTGGTTGAAAAGTCTATGCGTTCATGCAGTAAAATATATATATATATATTCTAGTCTATAAACATGGAATATGAAAAGGAGACATGGAGTGAATGCGTCTACATATCGTCTCAACAGTTATTTCATCCAAACATTAGTTACGATAATCCATAAAAGCCTTCACCGACATTGTTTACGTCGATAGTCTTTAACTTCGTGAATGCATAACATGTGTTTCTTTTCATTGACCTCTTCTAGCTCGCTTCCAACTAAGTCCTACTTGGTAGGCAGTAGTTAAGAATACCTAATACATGTCCCAGCCAATTGATTAGTTTATCAACTGATTTACTATACTTACCTAGTATCCTACGTCCAAAACTGAGCAATTCTTACTAAGCTATCACAACTAACTGGGTCATTAAAACAGTCAGTCAGTTGCAACGTAGAACTTCGTACGTATGTACATAAGTTCATGTTGCCATACCACAGCACAGAGACGCAAATGTCAAATCAAATCCCATAATGATAAAGATAGTAGAGGTATTAATGTTAATAAAGAA